TCCTCAAATCCTCCTCTGAGACCACGCCATCCACCCAGCTTTTCAGGCGGAAGTGCCCGTGGAGCCCTGTGAGGCCCACCTATCTAGCCAGCTCTTGGGCTTTTCTTTTCTGCTTAACTTCCGCTTTCCGTGCCTGAGAGGACTGTAGTTCTTTCCAACCTTTAGATGGGCTGAGGCACAGTAATGGTGATGTCGGATTTTTAAGGGTCACTTTTACTCCACAGCCAATCTTCACAATGCTATTATGTGTGAGCTATTATTATTCCAATGTCATAAATTAAAAACACTGCGATTCAGGCACCTGAATTCATTTGATCAAGGCTATGTGAGTACTAGTGGCAAGGCCAGAATAAGGTCAAGGTCTCCTACGCTTCCCTGTCCTGTTACTAGAGAACGTGGAGGAACCACTGCACTTGAATAGCTCCAGCTATGTTGGTTTCTGTGCCTAGAGTGAGGTATGTAAAATGCCTAGAGTTCTTGGGGTTTTATCTCCCCTCAAATTGCTTTTCTTTCTTTTATTCGTGTATTTAGTACAGGGTCTACAGAGTCTCACTGCACAGCTCGGACTCGTAGTGATTCTCCTGTTTTCAGCCTCCCAAGCGCTGGGATTACAGGCGTGCACCGTCATGACCAGTCTTAATCACTGGCTCAGTGCGTCCCGGGGGCGAGGCCAGCATGGCACGCTGTGGATCAAACCCTGGTCCCTGCGTCTGGCTAAGCAGGTGCTTTAATCCACTGAGCTATCTGGCCGGCCCTTCCCCCCAAATTTCTGAAATGAGTCATTGGCACTTTCCAAAATTCTCAATTTCTCATTTTTTTGAAAAATCTATGAGGCTCAGCCCCAGAGGATGAGTTGTTTTCATTTTCCCATACCATTTGCTCTTCTGGCTGTCTATAAGCAGAAACATGTGTCACTTCAGCCTTATTTCCTTAATTGTGAGCTTGTGAAGTCCGTAAACACAAGGAATGTTGTTAAATCTCTAACTTCCATAGAATGTATTTTGTCAATAGTACACATAGATACTGTTGTGGTTAAAAAGATTCTGCATTTATGTAGAAGATTATATATTTATGTAAAAGCATTGCTGAGTCCACAGTAACATTTTCTACTGTTCTGTAGGGTTGGACACAAAGGAGAAATTTAATGACAGAATTTAACTTGCGGTGGAGTGAGGCTGGGAGTGAGGCTGGGCTGCCGCTGCAGGACCTGGCTGATGGAGCAGTAAATTGTAACAGGGCGGTTGTGTCAGAAATGTACTGAAGACATTCAGATTTGTGCCTTCTGAGATAAGGTCTAAGGTCTCAGTGTATATTCTGAGCTGGCCTTGAACTCACTTTGTAGCCCAGGCTAGCCTCAAACTCAAGATTCTTCTGCCTCAGGCTCTGTCTGCCTCAGCCTCCTGAATGCTGGGACTACGGGCAGGCAGGTGTGCATCACCATGCCTGGCAGTTTTGTACATTTTAAAGAAACTCGTGGTTAAATGTTAGAGACCTGTCTCCTATGTTTTGGAAGACAACGGGTGTCCTTTTTAGCGAATAAGGTAGATGACAGAGTTACGTGAGGGAAGAACATTAATAGTCTTCCTTTGCCTAACAGTTCTGAGCCTTTTACTCAGAACTGAGTTTAAGCAAGAATGATAGCAATTACTCTCCTGAGACCTTTTTGAGAACTAGATCAGATGTCCTATAATTCATAAAATGACAGGATTATAATTAGATAAGACTCTCAATTCTAAAAATACTGTGGATTAGATACAAAATTGTTAAAGGAATTAATTCTTGCAGTAAAGATGTCCATTCTTATGAATCTTCTTTCAGAAAAGGAATATTTTGGGGGAATTATATCTCACAATCTGTATTACTACTAGATTACTAGAATATTTTTATCTGAGGTCATAATTTATGAAATAAATAATTTGAAGGCATTACATTTTGGGAGCATTTCGGCGATTTCCATGATAAGAATAAAAAATAAATTTAAAAATCAGGATGACTAAGTTTTTTGATTAGGTAAACAATCCTTTTCCTACAAAGTGCATCTGTGGCACCAAAGAACACATCTTTCATGTGTTCCATGAAAGATGTATTTACAAGTTCCGGGGTGCACCTCCTGCCAGCCTCCTCAGCTTGGAGCCCCTTCTTGTGATGCATCCACAAAGATGTACCAGAAGTCCATGTGGCAGGGGTCAGCCCCCTGACAACAGTGTGCTTGCAGGCTTCGTGCCAATTTGAAGGTCTACTTCCCCTGAACAACTGTTGTCTATTGACATCATTGCTTCTTTAACTCTTGAGACCAGGATTTTAATTAAGATAGATTCAGGGGCACCCGTTTATGTTAACCTGCCCCTCTGGGAAGTGGAACATAACAGAATAGTGTCCTCATTGCCTCCTACTCAGGCATGAGAATACAGCTGCATTAGACTTTAGGGATATTCTAGCTGCAGAAGCAGTGATTTGGGGAGTTTCCTCTAGAGATTTGTAGTGGGAACTTGCAAGACTAAGTCTGAAAGCCAAAAGCAAAAAAGGGAGTATTTGTGACCTAACTATACTTTGAACCTAATTTGATTGTTTTTAATGATTATTTATCTTGGTTGCTAAGATAAATAAAAATACAGTACTTGCACTAACTACAAAAAGGTTATTCCAGGAAAAGCCCTGTTGGCAGCACTTGCTGATTTATTTGTGGGATTTAATGTGTGTGTGTACATCAGAAAATAATGGTCAAGACCTGGTTAGTGGTTGGCGAATGTGTTTGTGTGGGCTGCTTCAGAGCAGTGCTAAGAGATACATTTTTTAAAATACCAGTTGATTTGCAGGCTACTGTTGGTGTTGAAGTAGACATTTTATGGAGCAGTTTATCATCTGGCTACCAGATGTTCTGGAGTATACGCTTTTTAAAAAAGATGATCCTTTTTATGGATCTTTTAAAGCGACGTATAGGGACTTTGAGAGCCCAGAATTCAGGAAATCAGGCTGAAGTTGCATTTTCATAGTCTTTGGGAAAGCTCCTCTTGGGTGCACAGTGATTTCTCTCTGTTTAAGCAACTAATGTTCTGTGTCGTATAATTTTCTGTATCTTACTGCATATTTACTTAAGGCTGCTGTGAGTTAAGCACTATACATCTCAGAGAAGCCACTTGCATAAAGAATTACGGAGAATAACACAATAGGTGAGGTACGAATGCTGACTTGGCAAAATGTTATAAATGTTTATTTTTGTGACATGAACAGACAACATGTAAGGTTGTAATAGAGAAAATATGATATAAGTGCACACAGTGCTCTTCAGGCCAAAGTCTGCTCTCTACCAAAAGCAAAGAATGGCAAATAGAGAGGGGAACTGAGAAGCGGGTATGAAGAGAGAGGGCTTGGCAAGGGAAAGAAAAATAACTAAGATATGTTACATATGTATTCCAACTCTCCACAGTGAGTGTAATGATGCACTGCAAACATGTATAATAAAAGTAAAAAAATTCAAAGCGAAGAATGAGCAAATAACTGGGGAATCATTTGTTTATTTGGTTTTATCAGGGCTGATGTAGAATGAGGACCACCCCTACTCCCAAGTTTCCCGCTCCCTGGAAGCTTCCTGCTATAGTTTTTCCAAGGCCCTTGTCTACGTGTCCCGTCACATTAGCAAGCAGCAGGCTGCCACGACAGTCTTGGCTAGGATAGAAAATCCTGTATTTCCTTGCAGGAAAAAATATCTCCCATTTGTTTCCAGTTATTGTAAGCTATTTGCTCATCATTTTAAGTTCCATCCCTACTGGATGTTAATTGTGGGACAAATTGCTGGTTATTGTCAGGGTTAGTTTGATTTGGGGGCTTTTAATTAAGACAACTAACAAAGATATGTTGGAGGAGGGATACTGTGAGAACAATAGGACCAAGGGAAAAAAAGAAAAATCAAAAAGAGTAAATACAATAGCAATGAACTCATAAATTCCTCTCCTTCTCTGTCTCCTTCCTCCTTTTCCTTCTCTTTTTTGTTTGTTTTTCTGAGACAGAGTTTTGCTATAAACCCCAGGCTGGCCTCTAATTGGCAAGCTTCCTGCCTCAGTTTCCTGAGTGCTGGGGTTACAGATACATGCCACCTCGCTTGACTCAAATCTCAGGTTCTTAAGGAAGAGTCTTTCAGTCCTTTTTCTACCTGCTGTTCCTTTCCATTATGGTGAGAAACCATGAAATGCAAGTGGCCAGAAAAGAGTGCAAAGAGATCCCTTTATTTGTTTATTTTTTTTATCAGCATTATCAGTGGATTGGGATCTGCCTTGTATACAGTTAGAAAGCTCTGTTTATCCATTCTTTTGTTATGGGGATCTTTCTTCATTATGCTTGCAGGTGGTGTCAGTATCTTCTTAGTGTTTATTACATATGAAGCATTTGCTGGACTTGCGGACACTTGATGTGCATTTGAGACAAAAAGACGTACATCTTGCAAATGTTATCTTTGAAGACCTCAGACTAGGCATGTGCAGAACTCTGATTTCTCAATCACATTTTCTTGGCCTCCTAGAAATTTTAAAAGTAGACTTTGATACTACTGACCCAGATTTCTAGCACCTGACTTCTGATATGTGCATTGGTGCCTTGTTCAGTAAGAAAAACAAGGGACAGAAAGACATGTAAAGTGGGATTCTTTTTTTATAAGAAACATATATTTCTTTGCCAAATATGTGTATTCATATGTTTGTATAGACTTGTGAAAACAAAGAAAGATATGTGGTGGATCTACATCTATCTATTAATATTGGTTGATACTTAACAATTACCTGGGGCTAGTTAGTAGGACAAAGTTAGGGGAGAGGAAGAAGATTGCTTTTTCTTTAAATAGGAAAAATGCTACTAATTATAATAGTAATTACTAGCAATATTATTCCTATTAATAAATATAGTAAACACACCTCATAACTTTAATTTGAAAGACCTTATGCATAATTTTAAATACATGGTTAGCAAATAAAAACTGTTCATGTATTTTTGGCTTTTGTTTTGATCAGCACATCATGCAGCAAATTCAGAGACTTCAGGCTGACTGGGTCTTGGAAGTAGACACCTTCTTGAGCAAGACGCCCTATGGCTACCGGTCTTTTTCAAATATCATCAGCACCCTTAACCCCACTGCCAATCGACACTTGGTCCTGGCCTGCCACTATGACTCCAAATATTTTCCCCACTGGGACAACAGGATGTTTGTGGGAGCCACTGATTCGGCTGTGCCATGTGCAATGATGTTGGAACTTGCTCGCGCCTTGGACAAGCAACTCCTCTCCTTGAAGGTATCTGCTTGCCTTTGTTGACTCCTAGAGTAAAATACATTAGCAGCAACTCTGAGTGCATTCTGAAATCCCTGGGGGAATGAGAATACCATGTGGAAATAGAGGCTTTTTGGCACATTTTTGTAATTTCCTCAAAATGACATGAGGTTGAAGAAATGTGAATTGGAAGATTGCATGATTTAAAATGTCAACCTTGGGCTATAAACCTAATAGATGACAGTGCATTTATTAATTGGGACCTAATTTCTCAGCCTTGGAAATGTATGAAATTAAATGCAATCTTTTTTGGCAAGTAATGAAAAAGAAGGTAATTTGTATTACCTAAGTCTGAGTGTGAGAAATATGTTTTAGAATGAGCTATGTTTATTTCTTTCTTATTTACACAGCCATAAAACATCACAATGTTCTCATCTGAGATGGGGTGGCTCTTGTGTGGTGGAGAGGGAGCTAGAAGAAAGTGGTTCTAAAGAGAAAGTGTGTAATTCAGACACATCAAGATGAAAAGCACGAAGCAGAAATGCATTATTGTTATTATCTGTGAATCTCAGCTCAATTTTGTGTAGCATAGCAGAGCTTTTGTAATGCTTTCAGCTCAAAATACTTTGGGGACTCTCAGATGTTATTTCAGTCTCTGTGTTCCTAAGGGTATATTGGAAAAAAATGCTAAACTAGATGAAGACATTTTGTTCTGGTATCACTCATAATCAAATAAACACAACAAAGTAAAAACAAAAACTTGGTTCACAGGCAATAAATACCTTTCCCCTCCCCCTTAGAACTTCATGAAGGGTCCAGCTTTTGGTACAATGGAGTAAAGCAATAAAAGGTTTATCTTGTAATGAAAGTAATAGGGAGATTTGGTTCTATTTTTGCTGGATATGCTGAACTTGAAGAAAGCAAGAATTGTTTATGTGTTCTCCGTATACTTTTCACTGTTTTTTTCATTTTGCTTTCTGAATCTCTTATAATGCCTTTGTTCCATCCTTCCCCTGCTTGAAATACGATTTACAAAGCATGGTTTTGTGTGGCAGGTGAGTTTACACATGGTGAACTGTTTTACCTTTTCCAATTTAGCTTACTTCTGCTTTTGGTGATCAGAAACAGAGGTCTAAATGACTTGTTGGCTGGGGAAGCCTCATTAAAAAATGTGAACCAACATATACATTTTCTTACCTTTTCTCTTAGAGGTAAAGGATGATGTGGACAAATTTTTTAATAGGGCTGGTTTTGAATGCAGAGTTGGAGAGTATCAGATTTTTTTCTTATGGAGATATTTTGACAATTTTTTTTTCAATTAGGGATTTATTTTAGGTTCTTCAGCTATCATGGACAAGGAGGGTGGTGGTGGGTGGGAAGTGACCTGGGAGAGGGTTGCAGAATACAGTAGGTTATTGTTCCAGCTCTGCAGCCCTTCCTTTCTCCAGTTGTAAGACTATAATTACACACCTACATCTTTGTCTTGTAGCTTTGCTGTGTCCTTTCACTGTAGCCTGTTGCACTTCCTCATCCTTGACTTTGGATTTGCTTTTTGGCTTGGCCAATGAAATGCTAGTAGATGTGATTGGAGGCTGGAAATGCTCTTGCTCTCTGTATCTTTGCCATTGCCATGAGAGGGGCATACTGTAGTTGGCCTGCCAGGCCCAGTGAGAGGCTAAGAGATCTGTAAAGCAGAGCCAACCTTCATGATTGCTGAGTGAACAGAGCATCTTCAGACAAACTTAGCTCTATCAGTTGCTTCCCAGGTGACCCATTAACTTTCATAATTGTTGTTTTAAGCCACAGAGTTTGAGGTAGTTTGTTGTACTTTGTTGTTATAGTATTAGCTAACCTGTTCAGTCTTGGGTCAAGAGAGACTGCATGTAATTCATTGACTATATGAACTCTGATAGCTAGGCATTTATGACACTACCATGAAGACCTACAAAAACCACAGAGATGACCTAAGTGCAAGGTGCAAGCCTAAGTTACTAGAAATCGATGGCCATAGTTATTTTCCTGTTAAGGCTGAAAAAAAAAGCAAGAAGAGCAGGTTTCCTCATGGAAGCCAAAATTAGTGTTCATAGCAGTCTCCTAACTAAACAAATTGATGCTAAGAGAAAAGAATGAAAGTAAATCATTGCACTGATGATTGGAGTCACCCCACTTTGAAAGTCCTGTGAGGCACCCTAGCCTTCAAGCCCACAGAAGATGCAAACTGCCCTCTTTTGTCTCTGCTCTGGGTGGTGGTGGTGGAGAAGGCTTGGATCACAAGCTGTCCCAGAGAGCTTTTGTTTCATGGTTGTGCTGCTTGCTTTGGAGCTAGAACTATGTAAACACTAAGAATTTTTTAAACAACTAGAAAGTTAAAATGTCTCCACTGAAGTATGCATCTTGTAGTTCCACCCAATAAGAAAAATCTACTTAACTACTTAGTGCTTATTAAACCTGGAATATCTGTATCTATCTATCTATATCTATATAAATATATATATATCTCCTAGATCTGTACATCCTTTCAGGAGTTATGAGGAATTAACAGTAAAATAAAATTTATTTTGTGATCTAATCAAGGAGCAATATTAAGATAATTGAAACACTTAAGATACAAAAATAATGTAATTTTTTAGAAGATAAAAGCTTTATTCTCTTTTATTATTGAGACCATCCTAAAACAATCAGAAAAACTCCACTTTGAGAAAACTTGGACACACCCATTAACAGGTACCACAATAGGAAGACAGTGATTGATGAAGACATAGCAAATTATGTATCAGAGTGGAACAGAGTCATATTTTCTGGTGAAATGGGGTAGGAACTGAAAGAAGCCAACACTTCTCCTGATGAAATCGTGGAAGGGCTCAGGGATTAGAGATACGACATATCAGGAAGGCGAATGTGAGGGTGGGAGCTCACACAAAGAGTGGTAAGAAGTCTACAGAAGAAGTGCTTACAGAGATTCCTAGTCCTTACCTGTTAGGTAGGAGAGTACCCCCCTAGTACCTGTGCAGAAGATGAGGGAATATTTTTCTAGAGAACTTGAAACAATAAGGCTCTGAACATGAGAAGATCAGATATAAAGAAGGACAGATACAAAGTACTTAGAGAACTTAGTATGAGGAAGTCAGAGTCTATCCATTGAAAGGTGAGGTCTCTAGTCTTTTCCCCATTCCCAGCACCAAAAGGCCTGCAGTGAGTGTATGCCCAGTAGATAGGAAGCCAGAGTTTCTTTCTCCACAGAATGTGGACCACCTCACAGGAAAGGTCATACAGAGGGACATTTGGGGGCCCTCAGTGAAAACACAAGGTTGCTCTTAGGTGAAGCCAAGCAGTTTGTGTTTCAAGACAGTGCTTTAATATGAATGAGCACGAAAGTTGACCAGATGTGTGAGAACAGTCTCCCTCAGGAAAGAAAGAAGCAAAATAAATAACACAGATTGAAAAACAAAGTTGGAGGAAATAAAATATTGAAAGGAGCAAAAGATAACTTGATACTTTAAAAAAAATCCTTAGAGAGATAAGAGAGAAGAGATTTCTATGAAACAAAAACAGAATGTTCAATTACAGAACAATCACAGGAAAAGAAAAGGCTCTTGGGAATGGAAATTAAAAATGCTATCATAAAAATTTTAAAAACCAGTAAAAGAGTTGAGTCCTAAAGTAGTAGAAAGAGGAACAGTAATAAGAAATGAGGATTACATCTGGAAGATCATTCTAAGAATTTTGGTAAGCTATATAAAAATGATTGAGCTGTGCATGGGAATAGCTTTGGCTTCTTGACAAGAACCTTGGGATCTAGAAAACAATGAAATTGTGCCTTACATATTTTCAATAACAATAATTTGCAACCCAGAATCTGCATACCCAGCCCAAATGGAATGTGAAATAGAATGAAAACATTTTCAAATATAAATTTTCAATAATGCTCTCTCCTATGTTAGCTGATTCATTTTTTTTTTTTAGCTGATTCATTTTAAAAGTTGCTCAAAGATGTGCTTCAGCAAAATCAAGGAAGAACAAAGTCATGGGTACTGGTCCCTGGGAGTCCCTTATAGAGAGAGGGAACTCTTTAGGTGAAGGGGGAGACCTGGGATAATGGGCAGAAAGCAGGCCTAGTAAGCAGCTGGACTGGGATGGAGCAAGCAGAGGGAGGACCTCTGGAGGGGAATTGCCAAACAGCAAAACCCCCACCAGACACATGAAAAACAAAAGGGCTACAGTATATGAAAAGTTGATCACAAAATTCTGGAGCTACTTTAAGTCCCCCAAAATGAAGCAAATAAACAAGTGACTTGAAATGAGGAAAGGTATGTGTGTGTGTGGAGTAGGCTTTCAGTGACATGATGAACTAGCACAGGGTGTGTTTGTGTTTGTGTATAAGGACAGGGGCAGGCAATTCACAATAGATTTTGGTTTAAGTAATCCAAGGGTGATATTGCCATCAGTTTCTGTAGGCTGAGATTGGGTACTTTATGTTTGAGATGTCTATTTAACATCTCTGAGGCGATGTTCATTTGACAATTAAATATACAGGTTTGGAGATATCTATCCATCCTTCCATCCATCCATCCATCCATCCATCCATCTAAAGACTCAAGAATAGATATCGAAGAAGTGAATGTGTACAGAGATGAGAACAGAGGATCAAGCCTCGGAGCCTTCTAGAATAAGAGGGGAAAGTAATGAAGGGAATCATCAGTGCTAGCTAAGGAAGGATTATGGTGTCCTTGTAGCCAAATGAAGAAAGTGTCTTTAAGAAGGAGCCATCAGCTCTCAACTGCTGCCAGTAAATCATGAAAGATGAATACTGAGATTTGGCTTTGGATTGAGCAACACTGAGGTCATAGCTGTCCTTCGTTGGAACAATTTCAGTAGGTAAAGGAGATGAAGTCTAATCAGAATCGACTGAAGCCCAATTGTGTTAGATTTCAGGTAGCTCATCTGAGGGATTTTCCTACAAATAGCATTTTAAAAATAAGGGAGTAGTTGGTAGAGATAGTGGATTCAACCGTTATAGATGACAGAAGCAAGAGCTTGTCTTTAGACTAATGGGAATTATCTAGCAGAGAGAGAAAAACTGACATAGAAGAGAAATGGTATTTGCTACAGTGATGTGCTTGAGCAGATGAGAGAGAGGAATTAGTGCATTTGTGGAGAGTTGGCCTTAAGACCAGTGTGGGAAAAAGAAATCAAGGTCCACGGTTGGAGGTGAGGCTGGGTGAGGTTGAGGAGGGTTAGGGGTTAACCAGTGTGGGAAAAAGAAATCAAGGTCCACGGTTGGAGGTGAGGTTGGAGGTGAGGCCGGGTGAGGTTGAGGAGGGTTAGGGGTTAGGGTGAGGAGGAAATGTGAAACAGAAGAAGAGTGTGAAGAGAGAATGAACATAAAGTGTAGTGTGGCTCCCAGTTAACACGTAAGGCCAACTGATGCCTGTGGTCATGAATTTTAAAAGACACCAGAAAGCATGCTGGTGTATTTTTCTCTACCTAGATTCAGCTTTGAGAGTGCCGACACAAGGTAGAGAATTGCATGTAATGTTCTGCTTTTGCTGTGAGAGTCTGATTAGGCTCGGAGAGGCAAGGGCGTTGAGGGTGTGTGCATGAAGGATTAGGATGGTTGACAGGAATTTAAACTGAGTGTGGAGTGAAACAAGGGCATTACTGGGATCAAGAACTGTAAAGAGGCAGAAGATTTAACAGATGAGGGATCTAGTGTTTGAAGGACTGAGGAGATTTCAGTACCATAAGCCGTCATCTGAAATAGGGGAGCTGTTGCCCGATAATGGGAAGTGTGAAATTAATTATAATGCTGTTCCTTCTCAGTTCTACTCAAATACTATCTCTTCCATAGAGCCTTCCTGATTGCCCAGGGACTTTACCTCTCATTCTGTCCAATCTCTAGCGAACCTGTCTTGTTTGTGGCCCTTGACACATTTTTTCCATGCTCAAGTATTTGTTTAATCTTTACTAATCTAAGCATAAACTTACTCAAAGGAAAAGCTATAATTACTCTTCTTTGCATCCCTGTAGCATTCTTAGGGCAGATTCTTGTTTCTATTTAAAAAAAAAAAAAAAAACCCTTTCAGATTTAAATATAGTGAGAAGTAAGAAAGATGTGCAGATATTTCAGGGCGGGCTTCCCAGGAAGCAGAGTTTGGTGTGGAGATCAGGATTCAGGTCACTTAGTAGGGAGGGTGTTGGGATCAGAGAGGGTGGCAGGGAGGAGAAAGAAATGGGATTAGGCAGAGAGAACTGAGCTGTAGTGCAGGTTCGACGACAGTCTCAGCCAACTACCTGGGAGCTCTGGAGGTGTAGTGGCCTTTTTGAGATCCCCAGCACCTGTGCAGGTCAAACAAGGGGTGTAGGACACTGGAGGGGGGGCACAGCTGGGGCAGTTTCTGTAGTGGCTGACAGCTGTCCCAGCAGCTGGGACAATGCATCCTCCTAGATGGGAACTTGGAGACATATTACAGTGTTCATCACAGCAGTTCCAGTGTTTCGGATTGTTCTGGGGCGTAAGAACAGATAAAGGCTTCTATTTTCCGAGGAAGTAGAGAAAGGTGAGATTTATATGGGTAAAGATTATGGGAGGTGTGACAATTTTTTAGAGAGGAGGTGGTTTGAAATCAATTTTGGCATTGTTTCACTTGCTTGCTTTAGAATCTTCTTTTACTTATGGTGCATCTGTCTTTTTGTCCAATTAATAGGAAAATACTGTTTCTTTTTAAATCATCTCAGCAGTTTTGCTCTTATTTATTTTATTTTCTGTATTTTAGGGAAGGGTCTACAGGCTGTTCAGGGTCTCACTACTAGATTGGACTCACAGTGATTCTCCTGTATACAGCCTCCCAAGAGCTGGGATTACGGGTGGGTGCCTCCGTGCCCAGTCTGAATCGCTGCTCAGCGCACCCCAGGGGCAGGGCCGGCACAGCAGGCCCAGGGATCGAACCCCCGGCCCCTGAGCCTGCTTGTAGGTGCTTTAATCTGCTTATTTATTAATTCATAATATTTTTATTTTACCAGAATATATCAGGTTCCAAGCCCAATCTATCACTCCAGCTAATTTTCTTTGATGGCGAAGAGGCGTTCCTTCACTGGTCTCCTCAGGACTCTCTGTACGGGTCTCGACACTTAGCGCAGAAGATGGCCTCGACCCCGCACCCACCCGGAGCCAGAGGCACCAACCAACTTCACGGCATGGTTAGTGTGGAAAGTTTCCCTGGTGCTGCCTTCAAAGGAGAGGCTGCCAAAGCCTAGAAGTGCCTCAGAGTCCTTGGAGCACAGTGTTTATGATAGAGCATTCTTTGGCAGGCATTAGGTTTTTGAGGAATCCCAGAACTACAAAGAACAATTCTGGGTTAGAAGCTATGTTTGGCCAAGCTTAATTGAAATGCTGTAAAAAAAAAATCAGATCAAAGAATTAATAGTTTGGTTCGTTAGAAGCACATACTCTAAGCAGCGCATAGACGTGGAGAAAGCAAATGCCTTCTTTGAAGCTTTTGAAGACAGAGGAAGCGAGGGGTCTTGGAAAGAATGGGGCAGGTATGAGGCATTTTCTCACTGTCTCTAATGTCCCTTAGTGGCTCAAGTGTGTATATGATACTTTGATCTTCTGAGTCAATGTGGAATTTTTGACATGCCTGTGGGGGCATACTGATGCTGCCCTAAAACCCTGCTGCTGGTCATGGGGGCAGCACACAGCTTCATTTTCATTTTCATTCCTGGACCTACAATCCACTCCTGATCCTCAGCCTGCCCTGGAGCTCTCTACTTACTCCGGCTTTCATCCCATATTTGATTTTTGCCCTGTCCCTAGGCCTTCACTAACCCTGGCTAGGAGCATCACGCTACCCTCGATACTTCATTCTTGCCAGCGTTCACCCAACCCTGACCCTCACCCCATCTGTAAACTACAAGCTTAGGCTTAGCACCTCCATTCTACTTCTTCTCTGTTGTTTTTCCTATTACTGACCTTACCTATGTAAGTCAAACTGGTCACATTCGATGTCCTTTGCATTTTTTATCTGGCATATTTTCTGTGGGCCGATTGCCCCCGTGTCCATTGGCAGCTCAGAGTGGGTTAGGGGAATGGGATCAGCACTTCATTCATTCACTTGCACCCAAGTTGATATAGGGGTTCAGAGAAGGAGAGACCTGGCTGAGCAGTGGTAGGAGCAGAGTTAGTTATTGATTAGTTCAAATATATGAATCCACAGTGATGGCGAAAACTATTTTCTTCCAGAAAGGGGAGAGGGGGGCAAAAAACAAACCCCAAACATCTTAATAGCTTATACAAACTTGTCAATACATTCTTATTCTAAACTGCATATCTCTAATTTTCATTTATGAATTTATACATACTATCTTTGTAAAATCACAGGCCCTGAGAATATCTACTATGTGTTGATATCATTTGTAGACATTTATTCACACATCATTTTACTTCTATCAATCAGGAGGTTTTAATCTGGAGTATTGTACAGAGAGCTCTCAAGTTCACTGATATTGGAGTGTGCGGAGAGTTTCCTGCTACCCTGCGCCGGCGGGACCAGTCCCAGCCCAGGCGCAGCGTGGGCCGGACCCTCTCCCAGCCCCTCGGGCCGCCCC